AAGGGGAAGGGGGAGGGGAAGGGGGAGGGTTGGGGAGAGGGAGAGGCAGGAGAGAGAGGGGAGGGGGAGGGAGAGGGGGATGGGGAGGGGGAGGAGAGAGGAGAGAGAGGGGAGGAAAGAAGGAAAGAAAGAAAGAGAATGTAAATAGTTTTTCAACTCTAAGATGTTGAGACCATCCTTTTAAGTTCCAGTGTCTTTTCAAGTTTGAACCTTAACAGTTCAGATTCCTAGAACAATAGCTTCAGAATTTATGGGAAAGCAGTTTGATGGCATGTTAAAATAAGGGTAAACCAATGGAAACAGTCTCTGACTAGAAGAATGAAGAGGTCTTGTTTCTGGGATAGCCCAGTTTTATTTGTTTAAATGAGGTCAGGCATCTCTGCCCATTTCTTCTTTTGGAAAGAAAGAAGGACAGAAAGAGGGGAGCTTTATCCTCTAATTGTAACACTAAAAATATATATAAAGATAGAAGAATCTTAAATGTCCTAATGCTGAAACAAGATAGACTTGCCAATAAGGTTTGTTGAGCTCATTTTATATAGGCTGGTATTTAAAAATTGTCCAATTAGTTTTGGTCTCAGATGATGGAAGACCTTGGGTGCCATGTGATAAAACTTGAGTTTACTGGCCCAGAGGGTTTTTGAATGAAGAGTTTTGAGAGGTAGGATAAATTAGAGAAGGTAGAAATTAAGATTAGGGGAGCACATCAGGAGAGCAGAAATTAATAACAGAAATGGGAAAAGGACACACATGAAGAGAACTGTGGTGTGGATTTAATACTTAAATTTGGAGTTTCTCTAAACGTTATAGTTTGTGTCTCTAGAGAATGATGGCAAACCACCTTGTAAAATCAGACTCTAGAAACTGCAAGAGGTCAAGAGAATTGGAGGTAAGTTTTATGCCCTTGGAGCCTCTTACTGTATTTTATCTATTTCTGAAGTTTCTTTTCTTCAAGAAAGTGCTATTGATCAGTTCTCATAGTCACAGAGGTAGGATTATACCAGCAGGAACTGTGTTGACTCCACTTAGCTTTTTCATTAAGAACAGACCTATAGAAAGTATACGTGGGGATTTCTTCTTGGTAGCATGTGGCCTTAAATGTAATCAGAGTGAGTCCATATCTTTTTGGTACATGGGACTTTACATGCATAATTATTTGCTAAGATGAGTAAAATTCTTATAGGCAGGTCTGGGAATCATACTCAGATCTTCATATTTTAGTGGTGAATTCTTTCTTTTACTGTTGAGCTATCTGCTAATCTATATTGCAAAATTTTGCAACTGTTTGGCTGTTTAAAGTTTTATGCTTATAAAAAATATCCACTGGTAAAAGATACAAGGCTGTTTTTCATTGAGTTAATAGTCATTACCAAAATCTAAACAAAATTTAGCATTCTCAGCAAGGTGTCTCTTGTGTTTAAAGGTTTCTTTGATGATAAAAAATTTAAATGATTGATATTCAATCTCTAGTATTTTTTATCCTTGGTACTTTTTTTCAGTGTTGGAACCTAGTCCAGTGCTTTGCCACTGAAATAGCTCTCAACCCCAAGCATAGAGTTTCATTTTAAATTCTGAACTACTGGGGCTTGAACCTACAGCCATAAGTATGCTAGACAAACACTGTTGTATAGAACCATGTCCCCAGTCCCTCTGAAAAGTGTTCAGTTTGTTTTTTAAATGGAATATATGTGTCTTAAAGATCTTACCATTGATCTATTTTCTTTCTTTTCTTAGCCTCAAATGTCTGATAGTCCACAGGAATCCTCTTTTGGAAAATCAGATTCATCTCTCTCTGAGTGTTCTGGACTCTTTTATAAAGAGGAAGCTCTGGAGAAGGATTTGAGTGGTGATGTATAGACAATGCTTATTTTATGTATATTGACTGTATCATGCAGAAGATAGATTTTACAACCTACTCAATTTTTTGAACAGATATGAGCAAGGAAATTAATCTGATGTTGTCTACATATGCAAAGATTTTAAGGCAAGTAATTATGGTATTATTAAAGTTTATTTTTTCTTAGAAATCCTTTTCTCCTGAAAACTTAGTAGTGAAAAATTTAATTCTATGGCTTAAAAGTGTATTTGATACCTACAGATATGAAGTTTTACAATTCTGTGTCAATTCTTTACAAAAGATGAGTTGATTATTTTAAGAGAGTAATCACCAACCTGTCCCAACATCATTTGTCATATTTCTAGTGCTAATACCAGATTGGATATATCTTGGTCTCTAGATGATAGTGTTTTCTACATTTTAGACAGATATCTCTTTGAGAATGGTATTATTTGGTGAAATTAATGGGGTTAGAGTATTCACATATTTATATTTTATCACTATACATTTAAAGGCTGAATCTAAATATTGGTTTGAGAATATGAAGTATTACAAGGTGCTTTATAAGCTACTGGATAGTCACTGTACCTGAACAATAGTTTAATAATTTATGTAATTTGTTTTTAAAGTTATAGTACCTAAGATACACTTTCTGTGTTTTAAATAATCCAGAATATTTTCTAGAGTGCTTTAACTTATCCTGAAGATAGTAAATTAATGAAGCTGTCTCATGGACAAAGCCATGAAAATGAAATAGCTAACAGATGCAGTATAAAGAATATGACATTGATGATGTGTCTAGACTTTATAACTTGTTTAAATAACAACCTTTTCACTATTAGTGAAAGAGCAGCAGTTGATGCATCTTACATCGATGAGATAGATGGACTCTTCAAAGAAGCCAATATTATTGAAAACTTTTTAGTACAAAAACGAGAGTTCCTGAAGCAGAGGTTTACAGTGATCACCAACACCCTGCACAAGTGACGTGCCTGGGCCAGCTGAGAGTTGTTCCTTTGACTCCTGTGTTCTTTTGCTAGAGAAAATATGTATTAGACTGTAACTTTTTCTAAATTTAAAAGGGGTTTTAAGATAGATATTAATATGAAGTGTGTAATATTTCTCTTGCGGGTCAAATATTTGGTACATTATATAAAAATGTAAATTAAAAATTCTATACATGTTCTTTTCTTTATCCTTTACCCCTAAATTGTTTAGCCCTTCTTAAACTATGAAAGAGGACTCTGTTAATTTGATTATGCCTAACAATATTTGTTTAAATAGCAGATGATTTTTGAGATAGTTTTAAAATGTTTTTCTTGGCTGGTATTATAAAAGAACATCAAAACATTAAAGGTATTTTGTCCAGTTTCTTAGCATATAATAAAATATAACAGTGTGCTACTGCTATTTAATATTAACATTTGATTATTTTTAATTTTAACAATTATATTTGACTAATAAAAATTTGGTTTAAAATATTCTCTTATGATAAAAATAAAAACTGGAAGTTACTATAACCTGGCTATTTCTTTATTTTTTAAGTGTCGTGCTATATGGAACCCAGGTGAATTCATGGTGTACCTGCCTCAACCTCTCTTGTATCAACATTAAGGTTATATACCATCAAGCCTGGCTGTCAAGTGGCTTTTTACCTATTAACCACATTGATTTGTAAAGTTTATGAATTATATTTAAAAGTTTTAGCTGTAGGATGTGGGTGATATGGAAATTTGTAATATAGGACTCAGGAGATCATGGCTTTGGCAGGCCCCTTCAATCCTATGATAATATGAAGTTGAATTTGGTTTAGAGAAGTGGTTCTCAACCTTCTAAATCCTGCAGCCCTTCAGTACAGCTCCTCATGTTGTTATGACTCCCAATATAAAGTTATTTTTATTGCTGATTCATAACTCTAATTTTGCTACTATTAGGAATCATGATATACATATCAGTGTTTTCTGATGGTCTTAGGACTCCTGTGAAAGGGTTGTCTGACCCCAAAGGGGTCATGACCCACAGGCTTGAGAAATGCTGGTCTAGAGGATCTCTTATCAGACTAAAAGATTCCTCCTTTGATACAAATAAAGTACAGCTATGATTTTATTCAAAATTATCTATGTAATATATAACTACATTAGTTGGATCCAAAAAAATCTATCTTTACTTTTTAGCATACAGACAATTTGATCTTTTCTATGTGTATTTTCTAGTATAAGGATAGGGCACCACAAGGAATTTGTATTTTTAAATTAGGCAGTATCTTTTTACCTGGATGCTTGTAAACTTTAAAGTAAATTTTCATTCCATCAAGTTACTTATTTGTTTGAGGCAGGATCTGTGTAATCCTGGATGGCCTAGAACTCGTGTAGGCCAGGCTGTCCTTGAGCTCTCAGAGAGTTCCAGTTATTCTGCATAGATTGTTGGAATTAAAAGAGAAAAGACAACAAAACAGGAACGAGGTGCTGAATTTTGTCTTTTGTTGTTTTTGCTTCCTAGCGGTGTTTGTTATTTAGGTTCTCAAAGATGTTTGTTAAAGTAATAAAATGATGTATGGTGGTATGTATTCCTGGTTTCCTGTCTGTGCTTTACTGTAAGAGAATGCTTTTCATAAAACGAATGAATGTCACCTTTAATTCTAGCACTTGGGAGGCAGAGGCAGGTGGATCTCTGTGAGTTTGAGGCCAGCCTGGTCTACAGTGTGAGCTCCAGGACAGCCAGGACTACACAAAAAACCCTGTCTTGAAAACCCAACCCAACCCAAAACCAAAACCAAAACCCCCCAAAAACTAATGAATATAAAAGAAGAGGGATGAGATAAAAGGGAAAAGGGTGAGCTAGTGCCTGCCAGTCTAAATTGAGACTTCATTCTGTCTGAATCATTCAGAGGAGAGAAATTGTGTAATGAACCCCTGAATCTGGTTCCATGGACTTAACTGCAGGTGGGGGCAAATTCCAAAAAGGGATGGTTAAGAAGGAAGGCTATTATTGGTCTGATTTTAATGTCAAAGATTATAGTTGGTTAGGATACTTGCCATAGAAACTAAGTTTACCAGTGTTTTGAGGCCCCGCCCCTCTCCTTCCCTCCCCTCCAGTCTCATTTGATCACAGAGCCAGCAACAACCCTGGCTCATTATTTACTAAATAGGCCAGTGGCTGCAGATTCAGAAATCTCAAGACCTGTTGCTGGCCCTGAAGTGAATTAAGCAATATTTCCTCAACTCTTTCTGCGTTTCCTCATCAGCCTTCCTGACGTTGCAGGGGTTCTTTCTGTGGCAGTGTACCATCTCCCAGGTAGGGGACTCTCCCCTCTACCCTTTCCTTTCCTGGTCCACTTCTTACCAGTCTCCAGTTGGACTGCTGTACCTGGGTCCTGAAGATTATAGCAGGCTTCTGAAGCCTCTTTGTGTGCAGGCAGCACGCCACAGGGGAGAAGTGAAAGCAGGTGGTTTACCAACCACAGGATTGGTGTACTCATCGTTGTGGAAACAGCTAGTGTTCAGTCAGCTAAGGTGACACACTGGGGCAGGATTCACTCCAGAGACTTGATTTGTCCTGGATGCCTCAAAAGGTTTTTCTCTATTCTGACTTTTCCCAACTGAAAACCACTGCTTTGTATTCAGATGCAAACGTTCGTTTCTCCTATTTGCATTCTGGGAAACTGTCTCAAACCCTGTGGTTTTGTTCTGTAGCTTTCTATTATAGTTGGTACTTCAAGAATTTATTTTCAGTAAGTGGTTAATATAGAACTGCCAGAAACGGCACCGATATGCACTGCAATGGCAATCAGTTATAAAGTTATGTAACCACTTAGTGCTGTAGTATGTAAGGCAGCGTGTTAGGCGCGCTAGGAGCGGTAGGTATAGCGAGACTTTGTATTCAAATACTGCTAGGAGAAGTTGTAAAATGCACTGGCCTTTATCACACAAAACAGCAAGATAAGGGCCACCAGAAAGCTCTCCGAAGCCGCAGCGAGGAAGTGGGAATGCTGTGCTTAAGAAGCAGTTGACCCAGAAGCTGGAACTTGAAGGTTAAATTGCATATGCAAATTTCATCTGAAGGAGATGAGCAATATCCTAGGTGAAGAGAAAGAATGGTCATGAGTCTAGGGAGCAATCCAGCTAGGCTGGAGTGAGCAGCTAGGGTGGGCTGAGAGCACACAAGGTCTTCAAGCACCTGGTCGGGAGTTTCAACACTTGCAAGTAATTTGTGAGTTGTGGAGGAATGAATGATGCAGCCAGATTTACATGTAGGAAATGTAATTTTCATATCACTGGTAGAAAAGCATCTTCCCTGCTCATCCAGGTAAATTAGAATCTCTAGTCCTGATGAGCTATTTAGAGCTGGAGGCAGTTGTCTGAGGTCTCTAACCCTTAAGATGGTCCAGTGGCTCCAGGAACTCACCTCAATGAGTTTCTCTTTCCCGTTACGCCTCCAACTGAGAGGCTGCCAAAAGTCAAGGGCCCGAGTTTGGCAGTAGGAAGTGACACATAGGAAGGAGAAGTTGAGGCACCAGTGCTGAGGAAGATGGGCTTAGGATAAGAAAAAATTCGTAGTCTCAGAAGAGAGACTGATGAAAATAGAGTCACCCATGGAGAATTTTGAACCTGGGGAATTTCTATGTAAGCCATAGAAGTCATCTTTTTTCATACTTCCCCTACTGGCCTGTGCCACTATAGTCAGAAGAACTGTTGTAAGGAGGATGGGCAAGATGAATTCAATGCCCATAGAGAGACTGAAGAGAGATGTTGGCTGGTGGAAGAGCTGATTCAGAAGAGAAGAGTTGAGAGTCAGGTCTAAGACATAACTGGAGAATTTAAGAATCAAGATGAGTGAGTTCGAGGCCAGCCTGGTCTACAGAGTGAGTTGCAGGGCAGCCCGGGCTATAAGAGAAACCCTGTTCTCAAAAAAAATAAAAAACAAAAAACAAACAAAAAGAATCAAGATGAGATTACTAAGGGCACATGTTGAAATTTAAGGGTAAAGGTCTAAAGTTATACTTTGACATTTATGTGTTGATAGGAGGGAAAGGGTCAGTAGAGGAGATTAACATCTGCTAAGTATCATGGCATTTCATTACGATGAGAGATTAAGTAGGAGTCATTAACCTCTCTTAACCCTTATTTTATCTTTGAAAAAACTTGAGGTTTGATTGGGTTAAGATGTTTGCCTAAAGTTACCACCTAATAAATAAGGAAGCTGACGGGAAGCAGCATAGTTAGAGGGCAGCAAAGTTAAAACAGCAAGTGTTAGAATAGCTTGTCTCCCAAGCCAAGAATGGAAGCAGGCGTAAAGAGATGATGGCAGCCATATCAGGTACTGCAAGAAGTTTGAGGAGTGTCAATAGTGCCAGTAACATGGAGCATTGAACATACAGATATGTAAATATAATCTAACATGAAGACGCCAGAGAGATGGCTCAGTGGTTAAGAACACTGGCTGCTTGCCTAAATTATCCGAGTCTGATTCCCAGCATGCACGCGGTGGCTTACAACTATCCTTAATGGTAGTCCCAGGGAATCCAACACCTACTTCCGACCTCTGAGGTTACCAGGCATACACATGGTGCAAAGACATAAAACATAAAGTATTTATAATTTGTGTGTATCTAGTTGGGTTGTTCAATTTCACTCTGTAATGTAGCTAATCTACTTTTTATCAGGGAGTCTTAGTCTAAAAGGAGAAGAAGATAAACTCACTGTTTACAAAAGAAGAGTAAGGAAAGTCTAGATTTCTCTGCTTTTTTTCAAAGTATTTTCTTGAGACCTCTAATACTACTTATCATTCCTGCCTTTTAGTTCCTGCTCATTTCGCCCCAGAGACTGTATGTAGAGTGTGGGAATCTTGGAATTCGGTTTTCAGCTCCTGAACCAGAGAGTAGTGGGTTGTACTTACATTGCAAATAATCTTTGGACAGGACTGAGACAGGATGGTGCAATGACTCATCTGACCCCCTAGGCAGCAAGTTCCTCTTGTTGGATTGGGGACTTCAGTCTCTCAGCAGTGTCTAGCTCTTCCTTGAAAAGCTAAAATAATTCAGAGAAAGAAAATCTGTGGTGCATCTTATTGTATTGATCATCTAAAGTTAATAATACTGAACATTTGGGGGATATGTATCGTGTTCATAATCTTTCGTGGTCACTTAAAACCTTAGGCATGGTAAGAATTGTTATCTCTGTCTTAGAAAAGAAGAAAAAGCACAGGGAGGTTGAAAACCTTACTTTGGAAGTGACTTAAGATTTGAACCTAGGCACTCTGGCTATGCTTTTTAAAGGAAGTAACTTTTGAGTTAGATCTTGAACAATAGGTAGAGTTTTCTTTACTTTTTCTGCGTGCGTGCGTGCGTGCGTGCGTGCGTGCGTGTGTGTGTGTGTGTGTGTGTGTAAAGGTGAGAGGTTGATAGCAATTTGTTTTTCACCTTTATTTTTTGAGATATTTCTCTCTGACCCTGAAGCTGATCACTAACTGGGCTAGACCAATAGGCCAACGAACTGTGGAATCTTCTACTGTCTCAGTGTTAGGATAACAAGGCTTGGTGCTGGGCCCAGTGACTTTGTTATTGTTGTTGTTCTTTATGTGGGTGTTGGGGGTTGCATAGCAAGCAACTTACAGGCTGAGCTACCTCCACTCCTCCCACTCCCCACTGCTCTTCTCTCTACTGAGACAGGAGCTTACTTGGTAGCCCAGGCTGGCCCCTTATGCTCCTCCCTTTTGAGCACTGGGATTACAGTTATGTGCCACTACAACTGCCAAACAGTCTTCTTGTGTGGTTTCATTTTTCAGTGTTGTAATCCAATACAGGGAGAAGCACTTTACCTCTGATCTATATCCTCGGCTATAATTTTCTTAGGGAGAAGCTTTGGGAAGGGCATTCAAGGTGAAATGAATGTTATCTGGGAAAACAAGAAAGAGCTGGGCCTGACTAAATTGTTTAGGGAAATAAAAGGTCATGTGTGCTACAAATTTAGTATTTCAAAGAAATTGGATCATATACTGTAAAATAAATTGCCAGAAGAACATAGATCTTGTCTTTGGATAAGTTTATCTGTTATTTCTAGTCTGGACTCATGTACCTCTGATAACTTCTATGAAGTAAAGGATTGTAGCCAAAGTTACAAGTAACTTGTTCTAACTAAAGTTATATCTGACCACACCTCTCCTCATTCATGTACTCATGTATTCATCTTGGGAAGTCTTTTAAGTAGGAAGTAAGAGGGATGGTGTCCAGCTCCTAATTATAGGATAGGATTTTACTCTTGTGTTTAAGGATTGGTATGGTTCAGAATGGTACCATGTTGGTACCTTGAAAATGTGAAAGAGGAGAGAGGAATTTGGAGACTGTGTGGTTTAGGTTCACACTTCCCTCAAGCTTCCAGTTCACACAACTGTCTATGGGGGAATAAGCATGTGAACAGGAGATCCTGTAACATGTGTGTGCATGTATGCATGTGTGTACTTGTGCACACGTGTGCATGTATATGTGTGTACTTGTTTGTGTGTGCATACATGCATGTTTATTTGGTTGTGTGTATGTGTGTGTACATGTGTGTGAGTTTTGCTTCTCTTTTACAGTTTTGAAGAAATACGTGGAGAAACCATGTTAGGCTCGAAGCAGAGTCTGCCGTGCATTGCCCCGCTGCTGACCACTGTGGAGGAGACTCTGAGTGCTGTGTCTGCTCAGGTCCAAGGACACATTCCTGAATGGCTCAATGGCTATCTACTTCGAGTTGGACCTGGGAAGTTTGAGTTTGGAAAGGATAGGTAAGCCTAGATTTTAGAGAACAGTTTGAGTTTCTAGAACACGAATTCATTCCTGTTCATCTCCAAGATGAGTACTGGCACTCTTTCCCTTTGGTTACAGATAAGGAAACTGTTGCCTAGAAGAGGAAAAAAGTATTCTAAAGCCATTTTTTCTCCCTCACTCCCAGTTCAAGTTGTGAATTTGAAGTTCTCTTTGGGTTTAGGGAACCAAGGGAGCCATGCAAGAATCTCTGTGAGCCATTTCACTGCAAGATCCTGAAGGAAGGGCACCTTCCCAGTCACAAGGACCTCTTTCTGTTTTTCCTTTTTGTGCTCAGTATCTTGGATGCTTTCTTACCTGTCTTCCCTAATCATTGGGCTGATTTTTGCCCTGATGTCAACTCAAATTGCACTTCTTGTGGCTTCTCATCCTAAAACTACCAAAGTTGGTTGCATCACCAGTGCCCATCCCCTTGGTTTGTTTATTTTTAAAAAATTACCTATTTATCATTTACTTTATTTCTATGAGTGTTTTGTCCACTTTTAAGTATATGTTTCATGGATGTGCCTGGTGCCTGCAGAGTTTGTAAGAGGGTGCTGGATCCCTAGAAATGGGAGCTATGGATGATTGTGATGTAGGTGCAGGGAACTGAACCCATGTCCTCTGTAATAGCAACAAGAACTATCACCTGCTGAGCCATCTCTCCAGCCTTGTTTGTTTTTCTTTGTTTATTATGTTATCTGTGTTCCTCCACTAGGATGTAAGTTTCACTAGGGCAGAAAAGCTTCCTGATTTATCCAAATGTTCCCAGTATCTTCAACAGTAGCCTGTACCTAGCTAGAACTCAGTAAGTAGATACAATGGGTGAAAACCCAGAAGGTCTTTAGGATATCATTCCTCTGTGTGTCCAAGAGGGATATGAAGTGATGGGAAGAGATGGCTAGGAGACAGTCTGCTCTGTAACATTTTTAAATGTTAGACATTTTTTGTATGAAAAAAATGTGTGAACTATAGTAAAGTTATTGGGGTGGGGTGGAGATGGGCATGAACTACACAACACAATCGCCTTTAGCAATTTTATGCTACTCCTTGCTGGTCTTCTCCACTATTTCTATAGACTTATGTTAAAAACTGCAGTCATCTTGGGGCATGAAGAGATGGCTCAGTGGTTTATAGCACTTATTGCTACTGCAGAAGACCTGAGTTCAAGTCCCAGCGCCTACATGGTAACTTACAACCATCTATAACTCCAGTTCCAGGGGATGAAACTCTCTTTTGACCTCCCCAGGCATCAGGCATGCATGTGGTGCACATACATACATGAAAGCAGACACTCTAATGCACATAAAATAAAAAAAATCAAAATCAAATTTGATAAGAAAAGAATTGCAATCATCAGTAGATTTTTCCGTTCTACTTTTTAAAGATTTATGCTATCACGGCAGCAAGACAGCTCAGTGAGTAAAGATGTTTGCTCATAAGCCTGGTGAGCTGAATGCAGCACACATGACACAGAGAGAACCAACTCCAGCAAAGTGTTCTTTGACCTCTGCACATGTTTGGTGGAGCATACACACACACACACACACACACACACACACACACACACAAACACACACACACATATATTCACACTATCATAATTTTATGCTGCTACAAAATAGGGAGATCAGTATTTTTAATGACATGATGATTTTCCAGGGCTTATTATCTTTTAAAAATTGAACAACATATGTTTACCATAAGCCTACTGTCTAAACTACTGAGAAGGGTACAGTTCAGTGGCATTTTGAGTCCATTCGGCCTGTTGTGCCACCGTCATTACAACCGTCCACAGCACTCAGTTCATTTTACAGAACTGGACACTGCACTCTAAGAGTTAATGCCTTGCTTTCTTCCCTTCCCCCACCAAGTACCATTCTACCTTGGTCAGAGGCACCAGAGGCTGTGCCCATCTGTCACATCCCATCCTGCCTCTCCGTCTGTTTTTTAGAACTAGGCCAAGGACCAAGAGAAAGAGACATCTTCAGGATATTTTGAAGATATATATTTCATAACTGCATGTATTTTAACTTGTGAAACCTGGTATTCACTGAATGGTGTACATGCCTGAAGCAAGGAGGAGCACTCCAGCAGGGTGCTGCAGGAGGTTTTAAGGAGTTACTTTAGAAGTCTGATTGCAGCCGGTGGGGAGGAGGATGGAGGCCTAGGGAGAGGTTGAAAGTGGAGGAAAATCCAAGTGCACAAACCCATAGATAATATAGTGGGGATAAGCGGGAAAGCATAGATACACAGACATGAGCGAGAACACAGAAGTAGCTGTTGAAACTGAAAAAAAAAAAAACTAAGAGATTTTATAGATCCCAATGCAAATACATTTGAAAACCTTGAATAACTTTCCAGGGAATATGAATTACTAGAATGGACAGAGATGGACAGTTCAAGCAAACTGATGTTTTGGCAGCTGAACAATGGACTTAACAGATAGTCTCCTAACATGATTTCATATACATGTGAATATACAATATCTTCTCTTTCCCGTCGTCTCTCTTCATGCTTGTATCTTTATGCTAAAATAGTAAGGCTGAGTTGGGAACTGCTACAGGTGTCTTTTTTTTTCTATACCCAGGATAGATGTTCAGGGTTTCCACTGCTATGCAATGACTCAATGTCCAATGTAAGTAAGAGTAATGCAGTTAGAGTGAAGGTATTGATTTAGGGGCCAAAACCTAAGGAAAGCAGCAAGCCCCCCTCAGATGGCAGGTTAGCAAACCCAAGACACCAAAATAAACAATAAAACCAAACACAATAGTAAAATCCAAGGTGACGGGGTGTAGAACTGTGTGGTGAAGAAAACATCACTCAGAGTAGCTGCAGATGGACTATATTTAGGAAGGGTCCTTGTTTTTGTTTGCTGGAGATGTTGTCTTGCTATGTAGCTTAAACCAGCCTTGAAGTCAAGACAAACTTCCTGCCTCAGTGTCATGAGCCCACTATGCTAAGACATGGATTTCCACAAGTCATCATTCACCGAATGACTATATGAGTAACTTAGAGTAGGGTGAAGCCTGGTCCTAACTGTCAGCCCCTCAAGTGCTGTGATGGCAGGCTTGTACCACTGTGCTTAGAGATGAAAGACACATTTGGACAGATGGGAAAACCACCTCTTGTTCTTGAACAGAAGGACGGCATTTTAAAGGCACATTTCTTGTTTCTTATAAATACAATCTGATATCAGTAAAAATTCCAACAAGCTATTTACAGGGAATTAGATTAGTTATTATTAAAGTTCATATGAGAAATAAATATGTAAGAATTATCAAGAACACACTAAAATGAAAATTATTAGTGTTCTACAAGACATTAAAAACAGTGTAAATCCTCTACAATTGACACATTATGACAGTGGTTCACGGACAGGGGAACAGGTAACAGAAGAGGAAACCCAGAAACCGAGCCAGCAACTGATAGATATGGCACCTGAAATCTCGGGAATAAGAGGGACACTTCTCTACACTAATAAAAAAAGTGATAAAGTATGCAACATGTAAAAACTACACCTTAATAATTTAAACGGTACAGTTCAATAGTATCACATTTAGTCACGTGGTGAAACATTTTCAGAATTTTCTTATCTTGCAAAATTGGAACTAACCAGTTAAACAGCAATTTGTCATTTCTCCCATTCTCCAAGTCCATTAACCAACCTCATTCCTGTTTTTATAAGCTTGAATATTTCATTTTAATTTTAAAGTACATATACTAGGTGTGTGTGCCATCACATGCATATGGAGGTCAGAGGACAACTTTCAGAGTTTCTCTGGTGGTATGGAGTCTGGGATCAAATTCAGATCACCTGGCTTGCTGGCTTTTACCTCTCACCTACTTTGAACGCCTTATATAAGTAGATCTTACAACATCTGTTCTTTTAGAACTAGCTTGATTTACTTAGCGCAATGATCCTCAAGGTTCATCTGTGCTGCAACATATGGCAAGGTTCCCTCCCTTTTCAGTGGTGGATAACGACATGGTGTATACTGTAGAGAAGACAAAATTTCTTCTCATCCTCTTGGTCTTCACTAGACCCAAGAATTAAGTCAACAATGGGGAGGATTAGTAGTGAAAAAAAATCGTACAACTCTTGTTTGCTGATGTTTGTATGTACTTGGGAATCTGTGTAAGAAAAAGAAGAACTACTCAGTAACTTGTGGGAATGTGATAAGGGTGGGAGCCAGGGTAGTTCACTAAGGGACAGGGATGCCACGCTAGTGTTCGTTTAGCAAGGTTATACTGTTTCCTCTTTGCTTCTACTCCCTGTCTCCAGGTACAGAGACGACTGTCTTCCTTCTAGTACAGGAAGGCCATTGTAAATGAGGGGGATTTTCTTTTTTCTTTTCTTGGCTTTTTGAGACAGGGTTTCTCTTTGTAGTCCTGGCTGTCCTGGAACTGTCTTTAGTGACCAGCTTCCTTGAACTCACAGAGATTTACCTGCCTCTGCCTCCCAAATGCTGGCATCAAAGGCGTGCCCCACAAAAGCCCACTTCATGAGGGAGTTTTACTTTTTCCTTTTGGAGAGAAAATCGAAGGTCACCATGCTCACCTTGCGGCTGCTGATCTTCAAGTGTTTCAAAGTCAGAGGAGTGTGCTGAAGTGGCATATTTTGGGGTGACATGCATGAACCCTTGGTTTGGTTTTAGTCATCAGTAGATACTTCTAACTGTTTCTGTCTTTTGGCTCTGGTGAGTAATGCTGCCTGGATGAACAGAGACCAGCCCTGACTTCAAGAACCATTGTCTTTTCAGACAATGTTAGACTTCCTTGCCCATGCTGACAGCAAGCATTTGAGTCAGGGTCTTAGCTTAGGGTGGCCTCAGATTTGCAATCCTCCTGCATCCACTTCCTGGGGGTTGAGATCACAGGTATGTATCAATACACTGGCTGCGGTAACTTTTTTTTTCTCCTGAAACAAGGCTACAAATTTTTAAAATTTAATTTAATTTAATTTTTGCCTACATGTTTTTTTGATGTTCCACGCTTTAACTTTTATTTTGCACCTGTCATGACATATGTATGGAGGTCAGAGGACAACATGCAGGAATCTCTTCTCTTCTTCATCCTGTGGGTTCTGGGCATTGAATTCAGGTCATGTTAACCGTGCTCCATCACTTTGTTAGGCAATTTCTTTTTTTTCTTTTTCTTTTCTTTTTTTTTTGTTTTTGGTTTTTTCGAGACAGAGTTTCTCTGTGTAGCCCCGGCTGTCCTGGAACTCACTCTGTAGACCAGGCTAGCCTCGAACTCTCGAACTCAGAAATCCACCTGCCTCTGCCTCCCAAGTGCTGGGATTAAAGGCGTGCGCCACCACCGCCCGGCAGGCAATTTCTAGTATAATCATAAGGGTAGAATGATTATGCAAGGAATAAAACAGATAAAATCTATAGTAAACAGAAAATTTAATACATTTAAGATAGAAGGCTGAATGTTTCATTTTAGGAACTTGTTCTGATTTGGGAAATGCTTTTTCATGTTTTCTTAGCCACAGGGAAAAGAGCAGAATTATCTTAGGGCTTACCATTGTAGGGTTTTACTGCAGCCCATTGGAAAGTGAGAATTTTTTTCTAATTTATTTTTTTAATTCCCCTTACATCTCAATTACAGCCCTCCTCCTCTCCTTCCAGTCCCTGCCTTACAAATCCCTCCCAAAAATTACCCCCCCTTCTCCTCAGAGAAGAGAAGTCCTACTTGGGGACCACCCCACCCTGGGATATCTAGTCCTAGCAGAACTAAGGACATCCTTTCCCACTGAGGCCCCCCGCAAGACAGTTCAGGTAGGGAACGGGGATCCAATGACAGGCAACAGAGTCAGAGACAGCCCCCCCGCCCCCGCTAGATTTTAGAAAGGAGTTCCAGGCCATAGGGTAAAGGTCATTCCATAATTTCAAGTTCTCTGATCGAGTGGGTGGCTCTGGGGACATTTGCCTCTATTATCTTTATATTTGGATGGCAGAAAGATTCTTCCACTCATTTTCACCCATCTTTCCTTACTCGTAAATGAACCTCTATTCTCTTCTCCCATTGGCAGATACAATCACTGGTTTGATGGAATGGCTTTGCTTCACCAGTTCAGAATGGGGAGGGGCACAGTGACATACAAGAGCAAGTTTCTACAGAGTGACACATACAAGGCCAACAGTGCTGGAGATAGAATTGTGATCTCGGAATTTGGCACGCTGGCCCTTCCGGACCCATGCAAGAGCATCTTTGAACGTTTCATGTCAAGATTTGAGCCACCTAGTAAGCAGCCCTTAAAATGACAGTGATCGTTATTTAAATGAGTATTTATACAAGTAAAAATCTTGAAATATATACATTTTCAAAAATTAATTCTTATTTATGTTTATGTGTCTGTGATGGGTGCCCATGAAGGTCAGGAGCAGGTGTTGAATTCCGTAGAACTGGAGTTACAGATGGTTGTGAGCTGTTCTATGTGGGTGCTAGGAACGGGATTCAGGTCTTCTGGAAGAGCAATATGTGCTCTTAAATTTGAAGACATTTCTCCAGCCCTTGAAAATACACATTGTGTGTGTGTGATTGTGTGTGTGATTGTGTGTGCATGCGCACATGTATGAGGGGGCAGGAGAGGGGGGAGGGAGAGAAATCACTGGCATTTTCTCCCTGGAGTATGTGTTCAATATCTACTACCTGGTTTCAGCCATGACTGACAACACCAGCGTCAACTTTGTGCAGTACAAGGGTGATTACTACATGAGCACGGAGACCAATTTTATGAATAAGGTGGACATTGAAACGCTGGAAAGAACAGGAAAGGTAATGTGTAGGCCCAAAGTGAATAAAATAGATCCTAATTTTCTTTCTATTCAGAGTACCTTGTAGAATCTAGACAGTTAAAGAAGTCAGAGTTTCATCCCCACCAAACAAAGGCATCTGTTAATTTAGGTTACCATCACCCTCTGCCAGCATTGGGATGGGTTGTGGGGTTTGTTTTTCTTAAAGATAAGCCCAATTTCTACCTTAGTTTTAACATCATAAGGTCCAGGTGTAAGGGAAATAGCCCTGACAGGCTTACACTCCTCCTAGACACAATGCCTGTCACACAAGAGGTTGTATAGACCCATGTTGCCTTGAAACATTAATTAATAGCATTTAAGGACAATTTTGTTTTTGATACAGTGTCTTTCTCTGTAGTTAAGCTTGGCTTGGAGTTCACCATGTACTTTAGTCCGGCTTTGAACTTGTGATCCTCCTGCCTCAGTCTCCCAAGTGCTGGGATTTCAGGTGTGCCTACCTCAGTGTAAAATGTTCATTTTATTCTTGATTATAATTGTTATGCTTATTTTGAACTTTCCTGTGATATTAGATAAACCCATACTATTTTTTTGGTGGCAACTGTGGCGCCGCTGGTTTTTATTGTTTTGATTTTTCATCTGTTTCTTTTTCCTAAGTAGGAAAGATGATTTAGATTTCTCAGAGGTTTCTCAGATCACACTCACAATGTAGATGACGTGCTTCTGTGATCTATGCTAATTTATGCTATTAAAGATCTATTGTGCATCATTTAGAGTTCTGCGTGCTCTGAAACCTGCAGGTGGACTGGAGCAAATTCGTTGCTGTGAACGGAGCAACTGCACACCCTCACTATGACCCGGATGGGACAGCGTACAACATGGGAAACACCTATGGGCCGAGAGGTGAGGAGAAGGTGGAGATGTTTTTAGATATAACTAGGAGTAAACTGTTTCCCAAAGCTCCATTATATTTAAAATATACGCATGAATGTTGTAGTAATTATTTAAATCGGCCTTTGGCTCAAGCCGACTACCTAAGCTGTGGTGGCTTTGTCTAGCTCAGCCGCCATGTTCTGTGGCCAGAGGCCATGTGTGTGCAGCAGCTAGAACCGGCCTGCCAGAAACACCAGCCCTGCCACCCAGGAGACACCAGCGTGGGAGATGGCTCTGCCAATCTTCCACGCTGTCTCCGAAAGGCTAGGCATTGCCCAGGCCATCCCGCCATCCCTGCGGGCCCAGTAAGAGAATGAGACTCTAATTCTTATAGATTAATCAAAGGCTTTATATGTTTGGTAAAGCTCAATAATAATATGCCCATACAGAGAGTTGTTTCCCAATCAGCTAACCTAAATAAAAGTAGTTACCCGAACTGCTCCTCATACCTGCGTGGGCTTCCATCCTCCTACATCTCTGCCCTCCCTAACTCCTCTTCCTTTTCTTCTTCCTCTCCCAACTCCTCCTCTTCCTCTCCTTACTCCTCCCACCTTAGCTCCTCCTACACATGAAGGCATCAGAAAGCAGCCTCCAAAGAGGCATTACTGAAGATAAAACTCACGGTTTATCGTTGAGTCTCTGTTCTGTTGTCCTTTTGTACCTATGCTTAGCAACTGATTTCCTATGACATTTTCAGTGTTAACTTACATCTTTATGTACCATTATGATCTGGGGTATAAATTGTAGGCATTTTTAGCACATATCTCTTGAATATGAACTTTAAAGACACACTATATTATAGAAGCAAGAAACGTAAAACGCTACAGGAAAGACATATATTGGGAGGGCCCACTGTCTATCACACAGGAGTAACTAACTACAGATGAAGCCGAGAGCACAGCTGGATGGCATTCACAACTCGATACCATACCACTTTGCTGATCATCAACACACTCCCAAAACTGCTGCCCGTCTGCTCCAGAACATTCTGGTAGCTAATAATTGCAACTAATGTTTATTCAGTACCTAAGATGGGCTAGGGATAAGCAGACTTCTCTGTGTTTTCTTCTGTCATCCGTACACACCCACTCTCAAAGGCCATGTTATCACCCATGCTTTACAGATGAGGCCTGTGAACTCCCAGGATGTTTAAGTCATTTGCTTGAGCCAGTTTCCATGTCTCTGAAGCTAGACCCGAAACCAGGCCTGACTATACACGTCAAGGCTTGCCGTGAGTCATTCTATTAGACCATTTTATTAGTTTTACATCACCAAGTCCAGAAGGCGATGTTGATATATTTAATATCCCGTCTCCACCTAGTCACCACTGCTTCCTCCACTTGCGCAGGACTTCGACACTTATACACCCACTCTCTTAGGGAAGGCGGATTTGGGTTTCTGTATCTGAGAACATGTGTTTCTGAACAAGAGTGTGTTGGCTGGGGGTATTAGATATTTATGAGTGTCTCTCTTGACTAGTAGTCAGACTGTTGTCTCCAGTCAATGAAACCTGTGCTATGGTTGTGTTATAGCTCTGGTGAATAGTTAGTTGGCTTTGCGGTTTGTTCTTCTGTATGTTTATATCCACATATATGAATGTGTATGAAAATGAATGCAGCAGTTTTAGCCTTTATTAACTTAGGTACAGATAGGATGTCCCTGATATCCTTCACCCAGCTTGGTTTTTGTTTTTGTTTTTTTACTTTCAGAGGAGGGTTGATCCTTGAAAATTGTTACAGCAAACAGCAGACATCCTCCTGGGGAAAAGAGTTCAACGGGTAGAGTGGCTCAGTAGAGTTTGTGTTTGTTTTGTTCTGTCCATCAGTTTTTGATCATTAAAAAAAAATCACTTCTTGTTAACTCTATTAACCAGTTTATTTTGAAACTTATTTATAATATGGAAAACATCATTTTTAGTTATATGTTTTTAAAATAGTCACTAGATCATCAATCTCAACCTAGAATGCTTGCTGTCAGGGTAGATCACTGGGCTCTATCCATCTGTATTAGCAGAACTGAAAAGAGGCCGAGAGTCTTTACTGTGAACCGCAGGGGATCTTGGTACATGGAGCCTCTGGATCTCACTGAGAAACCCAGGCACTGATCATGACTGTCAGGCTTGCTACTCTGCCTCAGCTTCTGGAGGATCTGCAGATCATATGCAAGTACAGAGCAAGGCGGGGCTGTCTTTGCATCCCTCAGTGTGTTAGGTGATTCTCTACCATAGTGCCTTCGAGATGCCTTCAGGGCCTTGTAGTTAGAATAGTTCAGTGGCTAGATGTTTACATTCAGTGAATTGCACAATCCAATTGCCAACACTGGGATTCTAACCAATGCTTGACATGCTTCTCTTCTCTCATTTGATTACCTGGTTCCACGAGAAGGTTTTGAACTGGAACTCCGTGTGTATGTAGGTGTAGGACGCATGGGACACGTTTGGGAAGTATAATAATCCTGATTGTAATTTTAAAATACCTGTAATACACTTCTACTTTTAAGAACTTTAAAAACTGTAGAGAGAGGACTAAGAAATAAATGTGCAAATCATAACAAAGTTTTAGCCTTTTCAGATATTTTAAGATCCTCTTTACAAATTAGCAAAAATTCTTCGAACATTGTATCAACATAGTTATTTTTTAATACTTCAAATATGTTCTTCATATTAATCTATCATTGTTGTCTCTCTCCCTCCTTCCCTCTCTCTCTCTCACTCTGTCATTTTACAAAACATAATGTTTCCTATATACATAGTGGTTTCTCAAAACCTGCCTGTATCTCCACCCTGAACACCTGCAGTAATTTGTACTTATTGCTCATTCAGGGTTTTTACCAGGATGTCAACAGGCATTACAAAACCAAGCCTTTGGTCTTTTCTGCTAAGCTTTCTCAAAATGAGTTCTCCCCATTTCAGTTGATGGCAACTCCATCCTTCCAATTGCTAATGGCAATTTTGAATCATTCTTCATGTTTCTCTCTCATATCTCCATCCAGTTAATCAAAAGATTCATCTCAGCAATGCCCTCAAAATACCTTCAAAATCCAGCACCTCACATCACCCCTCCACGGCCACCTCATGCCATCACCGCATGGCCTTTCTTCCAGATACTCTCAAGTCTCTTTCTCCTTCTTAATTAAGGTCTACTTGACTGCCACCACATGCTTAGTAATGAATGGTAAACAGGAATGCCCACCCGTACACAACCACCCCAGCCCCCAGCTAGCTTGTTTTACATTACAGTTCATATCGGCATCAGATGCATATTTTGCTCATATGTTTTATTAGAATTTGAATTTTAGAGAGGAATAGATTTTATCTGTTCTGTGTACTGCTATAAACATGAGTTTGGGCTACAGTGTTTAGAATACTCACAACAGTGTTTGATTGGTGACCAGTAAATGGCCGAAAAATAAATGAACCAAGAAAAAATGCTGATTATTTTGTTCTTCTAGAACAGTGGCAATTGTGAAATTCCACATTATGCAAGTTCATCATGTCTTACACTGCAAATTATAATACCCGGAAGATAGTTCAGCACCACTTAAATATTCTTTCACGGACTAGCTACATAAACATGTGCTCTTAGTTAACCCATCAATAACTACGGCACGCCCACTAAATACCAAACCCTGGCAAGGGAAAGGGTCATCCTTCATTCTAGAATGCAAATAGAAATCGTAAAGGAAGAATTTTCTCTTGTCCAGGTTCTTGCTATAATATTATTCGTGTTCCTCCAAAAAAGAAAGAGCCTGGGGAGACGATTCATGGGGCGCAGGTGCTGTGCTCTATTGCTTCCACCGAGAAGATGAAGCCTTCTTACTACCATAGCTTTGGTGAGTCCGTAGATGAGGGAAGTTGCTCTGGGCTTTGCCTTAACGTGGCTGTGTTAGAAAGATTAGTTTTGACAAGTATCACCTTGATCATTTATAAGAGTGTTATGGTAACGAGACCCGGATTGCATTAATAACAGTTAAGATATTCTATCTAGTCCTGTAGTCCTTGTGCTAGCCTGCAGATTGCATGAAGGGATACGGCTACTTAATATAAGTAGTTACTAGAAGTGTTTTAGTCAATGTGAAAGCCCTAAAGTAATAGTCACACATGACTTCACGCGCGAGTGCATGTGTGTGTGCGAACCTTATATTCTGCACGATTGTTTCAGCCTTTAATGTTTTGTTAACTTTTGAGATGTTTTAGCCTTTATTCAGAACATTTATTTTATGTATTATAAATTGAGATAGCCAAATATTCCTGAGTCCTTACTCCCAGTGTGTACTGGAAAAGGATTAAGGAATAAATACACTGAGCATAAATAACACTTTAATATTGTGCCGCTTTCTCTTATTCTTAAACCCAAATAATTTAAAATGGGGAAAAAACCCAACTAAGAACATTAACCCAAGTGTTCTTAGCGGATTTCTTTTCTATGAAGAAACAGGAAATATGTCCAGTCAAGCTGGGAGAGAGCGAGGTCTTGCTGGCTAGTGTCTGCTCATGTCTGGCAGTCACACAGCAGTCACACGCGCAGCCATTCAGACGGTTCCCCTTCCTGCTATGCTTCAGCTCTCTCTAGTTTGCCAAGCAACAATTTATTGTCTCCCGGAACCTTTTAGGAATGACAGAAAACTATATAATCTTTGTGGAACAGCCTCTAAAGATGAAGCTGTGGAAAATAATCACCTCTAAAATCCGGGGAAAGGCTTTTGCTGATGGCATGAGCTGGGAGCCCCAGTATAACACGCGGTTTCACGTGGTGGAGAAACGCACTGGACAGGCTGAGTATCTGAGCATATTTGTATTGAAAACGTCGCCCCCGGAGCTGAATTTTCACGGGGTGTTGTTTTCTTCTGCTGGTTAGACTGGCTACTTATTAATTAGCACGGTGGACATTGTGTGTTGGGAAACTAGGGAGATGTATTTCAGTGGATTGAATCAGAAGGACACAGGAAGCTCTCTCATCACGGGGTTTCCCATGCTGTAATGGTACACAGGGGTGCGGTTTACACAGAGCCCTTCCGCCAATTCTGCAACGACACTTTAAGGCTTAAAATAGCTGCATCTGGGACTTCTTGGTGTGCCAGTACCATACCCCCACGGAAGTCCACGCATGTCGGCTGAATCTCTTATTCTTCATTATTTAGTGCCATTGTTTTTGTCTATGTTTATCTCTAAGGGCTAGCCTTCTAAATTAAACTTGCCCCGATTTCATTACAAAATTATCTGAATATTGAATGTACTTTTCAATTAGTCACTTAATTTATAATAAGCATCACAAGCAACAGTGTTTTCTATAAATCTTGTAATTAGAGTCTAGGATCTATCTATCCTGTAAAACACTAGATTGCATTTTAGAAGGGCTTTTAAATTAGTCACAACAATAGATTGGTTTGTGTCAAACAGCCTCAGTTCACTGAGTAACATGAAGAGAGATGACTTAAGCAAGCAATGCTTAATCAAAGTATACTTGCTTTTATAGTCTGATTTTTCTTCCTTTATGCCTACTGACCATGACATGTAAGTGGGATATGTATCCCTGACCATGGCCTGCAGGCAGGGATGTGTATTCTGATATGGCTTGTGAGTGGGGTGCATATCCTCCTAACTTGAGTTTTGCAGCTTTATTTCTGAAAGAGGACAGAAAGGGGGGGAGGGGAAGGGAAAGGAACGAGAACTGAGTGTGTCTCTGCGATGTCTGTGTGTCCTGCAGCCTCTTCCAGGAGTGTACTACAGCAAGCCTTTTCTTACCTTTCATCAAATCAATGCCTTCGAGGACCAGGGCTGTATTGTGATTGATCTGTGTTGTGAGGATGATGGGGGAAGCCTAGACATTTACCAACTAAAGAATCTCAGGAAAGCTGGAGAAGGGCTCGATCAGGTAAACATCTTGCACTTCTCTACCTTCTGAGTTCTGGGATTAAAGCTGTATGCCCCCATGCCAGGTGTTAACGTTTGATTTTTAAGGATGTTGCTTGCTGTATGTTGATTATGGGCAGTTATAGAGCAGTATAAACTTAGGTTTCAACAGCAACAACAAAACAAGCAGAAAGCATCTCGCATTTCCCCATGCGCTCCTTTCCCCCAACATCAATATTTCAATTTCTGTCTTATCTATTGTTATTGTATGCATGTATATGCATATGGTGTGTGTGTGTGTGTGCTCTCGAGAGTGGCGTGAGCCGGGAATTGAACTCAGGCTGTCGGGCTTGTGCAGTAAACTCTTTTACCCTTTGAACCACATTCTCGCCAGCTCGATATTGACTTCTTACATTGTAAAACATTTGCCACAGTTGATGAGCTAGTATTGATCCATTATTACCAGAGTGCACAGTTCTTAGGGCTTGCTTTGTGTTAACTAATCAATCCAATGACTGTCTAGTTCTGTTTCACACACTCTGTAGTCCAGACTGGCCTTGAACCTGCAGCATCTTCCTTCCTTGATCTCTCTCTCTCTCTCTCTCTCTCTCTCTCTCTCTCTCTCTCTCTCTTATTTTTTATTTATTAAGTACATTATAGCTGTCTTCAGACACACCAGAAGAGGGCATCAGATCATCAGATCCCATTACAGATGGTTGTGAGCCACCATGTGGTTGCTGGGAATTGAACTCAGGACCTCTGGAAGAGCAGTCAGTGCTCCTAACTGCTGAGCCATCTCTCCAGCCCACTTCCTCAATCTCCTGAGTGATAGGATTATAGCTGTGTACCATCATACCCATCTTAGACTGACTGACTCCCTCCCTTCCTCCCTCTTTCCCACAGTCCCTTCTTCCCTCTCTTTCCTTTTCCGTCTTTCTTTCCTTCCTTCCTCCCTTCTTCCTTTATCCCTTCCTCTCTCCTTCTCTTCCTTCTCTTCCTTCCCTCCTTCCTTCCTTCCCACTTCCTCCCTTCCTCCCCTCCTTCTTCCCTCCTTCCTACTTCCTCCCTTCCTCCCTTCTTCCCCTCCTTCCTCCCTCCTTCCCTC